CGTGTCCTGCACACACACACACACATGCACATACATGCCCCCTCCTGTGCACACATACACATGCATGTGCATAGGGATGCACGCAATGAACGTCCCTGGCACATACACGCAAGCACACGCACGCACTCCTGTGCACACGCACATGGATGCAGGCACAAGCACGCATCTAGCACATGCATGTACATGCACACACACATGCACACACATGCACATCCGTGGCACATGCATGCAAGCACACACACATGCAAGCACACACACATGGATGCAAACACACATGGATGCACACACACATGGATGCATGCACATTCACATACATAGCACATACATGTACACTCACGCGCACACATGCACATCCCTGGCACATGCATGCAAGCACACACACATGGATGCACACACGCATGGATGCATGCACATACCTAGCACATACATGTACGTGCACACACATGTGCACACACACACACATGCACATCCCTGGCACATGCATGCAAGCACACACACATGGATGCACACACACATGGATGCAAACACACATGCACATACCTAGCACATACATGTACGTGCACACACACATGCACACACACACACATGCACATCCCTGGCACACGCATGCAAGCACACACACATGGATGCACACACACATGGATGCAAACACACATGGATGCACACACACATGGATGAACGCACATGCACATACCTAGCACATACATGTACGTGCACACACACATGCACACACACACACACACATGCACATCCCTGGCACATGCATGCAAGCACACACACATGGATGCACACACACATGGATGCACACACACACGGATGCACACACACATGGATGCACACACATGGATGCACACACACACGGATGCACACGCATGGATGCGCACACACATGGATGCACACACACATGGATGCACACACACACGGATGAACGCACATGCACATACCTAGCACATACATGTACGTGCACACACACATGCACACACACACACATGGATGCACACACACATGGATGCACACACACATGGATGAACGCACACATGGATGCACACACACATGGATGAACGCACACATGGATGCACACACACATGGATGAACGCACACATGGATGCACACACACATAGATGCACACACACATGGATGCACACACATGGATGCGCACACACATGGATGCGCACACACATGGATGCGCACACACATGGATGCGCACACACATGGATGCACACACACACGGATGCCCACACATGGATGCACACACACACGGATGCACACACACATGGATGCACGCCCACATGGATGAACGCACATGCACATACCTAGCACATACATGTACGTGCACACACACGTGCACACACACGCACACCCCACCCACCCAGGACCCCCTCCATGTCCCCATCCCAGCCATGCCACCCTCCCCACGTGCTCCCCCCAACACCCCTTGGGGGGGGGGGGGTCCTCAGTGACACCCCAATTGTGACAAGTGACATCGACCCGGGGGGGGCTGTGGGGAAAGGTGGGGGGGGGGGCGTCCGGCTGCGCATCCCCTGGCCCAGGCAGCACGGGGGGGGGGTGTGGGGGGGGTGGCAGCTGGTTCCTATTTATTAACCAGTCATGGTTAAATTGGTTTATAAATTAACAGATGTTTTAACTTTAGTCTTTCTTCTGGGAATGGAGGCCGCCAAACTGCTCTGTGCTGGCGGCCGGGCCCCCCCCCCCCCTCGGGAGGGTGGCACTGATGGGGATGGGGGGCAAAAGGGACGGGACCCCCACCCCCCCCCGGTACAGCCCACCCTGCCGTGGGGGCACTGCGGTGGGTGCTGTGGTCCTCTGGGGTCACAGATGCTTAGGGAAGGGGTGCATGGGGATAGAGCTGGGGTTCCACAGGTGGGTAAACTGAGGCACGGCCCCCAGCAAGAAGGGACCCCCCTGTGGCCACGTCCTCTCCTTCCTTGGGGTCTCAGGCTTGTCCCCGTCCCCCGTCCCCCCCGCTATGGTTTGACCTATTGGGACCGCCCAGACTCCCCCAAACCAGCTGGGGGAGCGCATCCCAAGGTGATGTCCCAGGACCCCCCCCGATGCCCCCATGGCAGCACCCCGGGGTGCGAGGCTTGGCACGGGCCGGTGGCCGGTGGCTGCCAAGCGGGATGGCTCCAGCCATGGTCACCCCGTGCCAAAGCCCTTGAGCCCGTGCCCAGGCCTGTGCTCGCCCTGTGGCTGTGCCAGCGCCGCGGTGACCCTGCCAGCACCGGCAACGGCATCTGCCGGTGGCACCGGGACCGGGCCCAGAGGGAGGGGGACAGGAGGACACAGCCCCCTGATGGCACCCGTCCTCGTGGTGCCAGCACCACAGGGACGCGTCCTCTCCTTGCACCAGGGTCACCATTGCGGTGGGGTGCAGCCCCCAGCCCTACAGCGTAGAGGGGATGCCAGACACCCCCCCCAGTGCCACCATGGGGTGGCCACGTCCCCAGCCACCCCAGTGAAAAACCCCATTTGGGGGGGGTCGCCCCCCCATGCCCTCTGGAGCGCCCCATGCCTGTGGCTGGGGGGGTACCAGCAAGGAAGGGGTTAAGGTCCCTGCCGCCCCCCCCCCCGGCGTGTTCCCACGCGTGTTCCCATTGCCGGCACCTCCTCTGCAGCCGGGGGGGGGCTGCACCCACAGGGGTCCTGGGGTGCGATGGGGGCTCGGGGGGGACACCCGGAGTGATGGGCACTGAAGGGGGGACCCGGCACCCACTGACCCACCCCCCTAAGCCCCGCCCTTCCCCTTAGCCCCGCCCCCTCCGGGGCACCGGCTCCGCCCCCCCCCCCCCCCCCCGACACTCACCTTTCAGACCCAACGATCGATGTCTCTGTGTCTTCTTGTCCTCACTGCTCTCCGGCCCCGCAGTGCCCCGTGTCCCCCCCCCGTGTCCCCCCCTGGTGCCCTGTCCCCACAGTGCTCCATCCCCAGGGTGTTTGTCCCAGTGCCCCGTCCCTGGGGTGCCCCATCACCACGATGCTCCATCCACTGTATACCCTGTCCGCACCATGGTCCACCCCTGTGCCACCTCATCCCTGTCACCCCATCCCCATGCCACCCCATCCCTGTCACCCCATCCCTATATCACCTCATCTTTATGCCACCCCATCCCCACAGCACCTCATCCGTGTCACCCCATCCCCATGCCACCCCCTCCCTGTCACCCCATCCCTATATCACCTCATCTTTATGCCACCCCATCCCCACAGCACCTCATCCCTGTCACCCCACTCCATGCCACCCCATCCCCTCTGCCACCCCATCCCTATGTCACCACACCCTTATGCCACCCCACAGCACCTCATCCCTGTCACTCCATCCCTCCATCACCACCGCCGCCCCCCTGACACCGCGGCCCCACAAGTCCGGTGATGCCGTTGCTGCCCCCGATGGGTGCAGGCTCCGGCTCCTGTCACCGGTGAGGAGCGAACTCCTCGTCCTGAACCTGCTGCTGCTATTTTTACTGTCTCTGCAGGAGGATGCGCTGCCGCAGCCCCCGCCACGACGCACGGGGATGGGCACGGGCACGGCGCAACACCCCACACCCCCCCCCCTTTCGGTGTGCCCTTGCCCCGGTGCCCATGGGATGGACGGGGCTGAGCCGGTGGGTAAGGAGTGACCGTGCACGGCACACGCGGCCCGGTGGAGGGCTCCGGTGCCGCGGCCCGGTGCGGTTCCCCACGTGCCCCGGCGGGTGCGCGGCTGTGTGGGTGCTGGCGCGGGCGGCGTGCGCCGATCCCGGGGGGCTGCGGGTGCTGCCGCTGCCGCAGCGCACGGAGGGAAGGGGAGGGGAAGGGGCCCGGCCACCCCCTCGCTCCGTGTCTTCGTAGGCGGCAGGAGCGGGAACGGCAGCGGGATGGGAGCCTGGGAACCTGTTGCCATAACGACCCCGGTCCCGCGATGGGATGGCGGGATGGGGATGAGGATGGAGACGATGCTCCGGAGCATCGCATGGGGTCAGCCTGGCCAAGGGGGTGAGCGAGGGACCCCACGCCTTGTCCCCCCGCTGCCCTGAGGTTGGCAGTGCCATGTGCAGGGCCGGCTTTGCCACGCTGTGCCGGAGGAGGCTGCTCCGTGGCACGGTGCCGCTCGGGTAAATATTTTGCTGGAGCAGCGGTTGCTGGCCCGCGGCCACCCGCAGCCCTTGGAGCACCGGGAGATCCGGGGGCCGGAGCCAGCTCCCGGCTCCCTCTTCCTCGTTCCTTCTTGGAAGCGGCTTCCTCAACGCCACCGCCCCGGCCTTGTCCCCCGGCCAGGACACCCCGTGATGGGGCAGGAGCCACCGCGCCCGGCCCCGGCTCTGTGCCCACGGGTGCCCTCCGGCAGCATCGCACCGGACCCCGGTGCCGAGCGGTGGCCGGGTTGGAGGGACCGGGGTTGGGAGGCCGAGACCTCCCCTTCCCAAGGGGAAACTTTGGGTTTGGTGGAATTTTCCACCAGGAAAACGGCGCAGGGCCGGCTGAGGGCAGAGTCCTCTGGCCCTGGCACACCCCGTGCGCCGGGGCTGTGGCTGGCGGAGGTGCAATGGCACGGTCGGGGTGTCCCAAGTCCCCATGGATATCCAGCCCCTGGGAGATCCCAGCCCTGCCTGAGCCGTGTCCCTGGCCCGTGTGGAACAGAGCAGGCTGGGCCCGGGGGGGGGGTCGGGATTTTCCTGCTGCCCATCCAAGGGTGTAAATGGCCGTGCCCCTGCCCCCTGATTGCAGCTTGGTGGGGTAACTGAAGCACCAGGAATGGGGACTCACGTGGAAGCACCTATTCCCGTCCCATTCCCATCGCTGTCCCATCGGGAGACACCCCGTTGGCAGGGAAGGGGTTAAGGTCCCCCCACAGCTTGTCTGAACCCCCCCGAGGGGCTCCCCAAGGGCTCATTACCTCGGCCTCAGCCCCCCTGCCCCGGGAGGGGGGAGATGAATAATTCAGTGCTTGGTAGGAGATGTGTCCTCCCTCCCTCTCCTTCCTCCTCCTCCTCCTCCTCCTCCTCACCGGCTCTGCTTTCCCCACCTCCCGCCACTCTCAGTCCTCGCCGTACCGGAGCCCCGGGTGCTACCGAACTCCCTGCTCGGTACCGGCGGCTGAGACCCCCCGTCAGCGGTGACCATGGACCCCAAGGACCGCAAGAAGATCCAGTTCTCGGTGCCGGCCCCCCCCAGCCAGCTGGACCCCCGCGCCGTGGAGATGGTGAGGGGACACAGCGGGGTATGGGGGCACCCCGGGAGTCCCTCGGCACCCCCGAGGTCGCTGCAGTGACGAGGGACCCCCGGTGTGACCGGGAGGGATGGGGGGGGGGGGGGCAACGAGGGAGCCCCAAGGTCTTGAAAGAGGATGGGGGCAGAGTGGGACAGGAGGGATGGGACTGGGGGATCGGAGGGGGCAGGAGGGAGGGAAGGGACCGGGAAAGCGGGACGAGGGGGATCGGACGGGACAGGACAGGGATGGAGGGGACAGGAGGGAGGGGAAGGGACCGGGAGAGCAGGACAGGGGGGATTAGAGGGGACAGAAAGGACGGAATGGGATTGGGAGAGCAGGGTAAGTGGGATCGGAGGGGATAGAGGGGACAGGACACGGAACGGGAGGGACAGAGGGGACAGGACTGGATGGGGGGGGGACAGGATGGGACAAGGGAGAGACGGGGACGGGAATGGGGAGCTCCGAGGTACCTGTGTGAGCTGCGGAACCGCTGAGGGAGAGTTGTGCAGGGGGACAGGGATGGGGCAGGGATGGGACAGAGGGGACAGAATAGGGACAAGGATGGGGGAGAGGGAAGGGATGGGATGGAGGGGACAGGAGAGGGAGAGGGATGGGACCGAAGGGACTGGACAGGGATAGGGATGGGGCCGAAGGGACAGGAGAGGGACAGGGATGGGGCCGAAGGGACTGGACAGGGACAGGGATGGGGCCGAAGGGACAGGAGAGGGACAGGGATGGGGCCGAAGGGACTGGACGGGGACAGGGATGGGGCCGAAGGGACTGGACGGGGACAGGGATGGGGCCGAAGGGACAGGAGAGGGACAGGGATGGGGCCGAAGGGACAGGACACGCTGGGGGACGGTGCAGTCACTGTTGTACCCAGCCCAAGGGGACGTCCCAGGCACACGCCGGACCCAGAGCCCTCACGGAGGGACCGGGCAGGGGCTAGAGGGGACTGGGGACATCGTGGGGACCCCGGGATGGGGCCACGGCCTCACACGGTCCCTGCCAGCACCCGTGCTCACATGCATGCACGTACATAGCCACGCATGACACACGTGCAGGCGTGTGCATGGGCCCTTGGCCCCGGGGTGCAGGGGACGGGCACGCTGCGTGTCCCCAGCCGGTGACACCCCGCTGTGCCCCAGATCCGGCGGCGGAGGCCCACACCGGCCATGCTCTTCCAGCTCTCCGAGCACTCATCCCCAGGTGAGCAGCGCAGCGGCCGGGAATGGGACACGGGACAGGGATGGGATGGACGTGGTGTCAGGGGACAGCTGGTGTCACTGATAGGATGTGGTGGCAGGGATGGGATGCGGTGATAAGGATGGGGTGTGGTGTCATGCACGGTGTGAGATACCCGCGATGGGACACGGTAGCGGGGAGGGAGCGCGGTGGTGGGATGGGATGCGGGTGTCACCTATGGCTTGGGACATCAGGGATGGGGCATGGTGGCAGGGAGGGGGTGTGGTGTCACATGGGGAATAGGGTGGCAGGGACGGGATGGGGTGGCAGGGACGGGATGGGGCGTCGCATAAGGAATGGGGTGGCAGGGACGGGATGGGGTGTTGCATAAGGAATGGGGTGGCAGGGACGGGATGGGGTGTCGCATAAGGAATGGGGTGGCAGGGATGGGATGGGGTGTCACGTAAGGAATGGGGTGGCAGGGACGGGATGGGGTGTCGCATAAGGAATGGGGTGGCAGGGACGGGATGGGGTGTCGCATAAGGAATGGGGTGGCAGGGATGGGATGGGGTGTCACGTAAGGAATGGGGTGGCAGGGACGGGATGGGGCGTCGCATAAGGAATGGGGTGGCAGGGACGGGATGGGGTGTTGCATAAGGAATGGGGTGGCAGGGACGGGATGGGGTGTCGCATAAGGAATGGGGTGGCAGGGATGGGATGGGGTGTCACGTAAGGAATGGGGTGGCAGGGACGGGATGGGGTGTCGCATAAGGAATGGGGTGGCAGGGACGGGATGGGGTGTCGCATAAGGAATGGGGTGGCGGGGACGGGATGGGGTGTCGCATAAGGAATGGGGTGGCAGGGACGGGATGCAGTGGCAGGTCCCTGGTGGGCAGGTAACCCTTGGAGCAGGGGTCTGGGGGTGGCAGGGACCTGCCTGGCTCTGCTGGGTGCCATCAGCCCCTATCCCATTCACTCTTCTCTCCCCATTGCTGCCACCGACCCAGAGGACGAGTCCCTGCCCTACCAGGTGAGTGGCACAGGGACACCCGGGGCAGCCCCGCTCCCCATCCCAGGGCACCGGGGGGTTATCAGGGCCCAGTTTGGCTCCGCGCTTATCGGTTCCCTGCCCGGCACCGGCACCCGGCGCTGGCACTGCGGGGACGGGGACACGGAGCCCAGACAGGCTCTGGGGTTTGGCTGCGGTCAAACAGCCCTGTGACCATCGCAGGGACACCACAGAGTGCTGGGGTCTCCATCATGGGGCCCCCAATGCAGGGTCCTCATTGACACTGGATCCCCATTGCAGGGTCCTTATCGCTGGGGAGGGGGTGTCAGTCTTGGGTCTCCATTGTGGGACCCCCATCGCAGCATCTCCACCCCAGAGTCCCCATTGCAGGATCCCAATCACAGCATCTCCATCGCAGGGTCCCCATTGCAGGTCCCCCATCGCAGCATCTCCATCCCGGGGTCCCCATTGAGGGATCCCCATCACAGCATCTCCATCCTGGGGTCCCCACTGCAGGATCCCCATCACAGCATCTCTATCCTAGGGTCCCCATTGAGGGATCCCCATCACAGCATCTCCATCCCTCGGTCCCCACTGCAGGATGCCCATCACAGCATCTCTATCCCGGGGTCTCCATGGCAGGACCCCCATTACAGCACCCACCTCCCCATGGGGTGCCTGGCTCCCCTGGGTCCATGGTGACCCCTGACATGGGACGGGGACACACCGGGACCCCATTGCTGATGCCATTCCCTCCCTCAGCGCGAGAGCTGCCTGCTGAAACCAAAGAGGACCAACCCGTGTGCCTACACCCCACCCTCGCTCAAAGGTACTGCATGAGCCATGGGAATGGGGAAACTGAGGCACGGGGCTGTGCGGGGTGGGCTGGGGGCACCCGGGGCTCCCCACACCTCTCTGGGTGCTCCATGGGGAGACACCAGTGCTCCCAGTGCCAACACTGGTGCCTCCCCAGCGGTGCAGCGCATCGTCCAGTCCCACCTGGAGGGTGGCCTGGCCGGGGGGGACAGCTCCGATGGGGAGGCCGATGATGGGGAGCATGAGCTGGCCCGTGCCTGCGACCCCGACAGTGCCCTGGAGCCTGGTGAGCGGGATGGGGATGTGGGGGTCTGGGGGACATGGGGACAGGGGCACTGAAGCCTTGGGGTGTGGGGATGGGGATGTCAGATGCTGGGGGAGGTGGGAATGAGGATATTGGATCCTGGGGGACATGGGGACAGGAATGTTGGATCCTGGGGACATGGAGTTGGGATTTCTGGAGCCCAGGGGATATGGGGACAGGGATGGTGGATGGTGGGGGTCATGGGGACGGGGATGTTGGATGGTGGGGGACACGGGGATGGGGATGCTGGATGCTGGGGGACAGGGGGATGGGGATGTTGGATGCTGGGGGACACGGGGCCGGGGATGTTGGATGCTGGGGGACACAGGGACGGGGATGTTGGATACTGGGGCACACGGGGACGGGGATGTTGGATGGTGGGGGACACGGGGACGGGGATGTTGGATGGTGGGGGACATGGGGACGGGGACACGGGGCCGGGGATGTTGGATGCTGGGGCACACGGGGACGGGGATGTTGGATGGTGGGGGACATGGGGACGGGGATGTTGGATGGTGGGGGACACGGGGATGGGGATGTTGGATGCTGGGGGACAGGGGGATGGGGATGTTGGATGCTGGGGGACACGGGGATGGGGATGTTGGATACTGGGGGACACAGGGACGGGGATGTTGGATGGTGGGGGACACAGGGATGGGGATGTTGGATGCTGGGGGACATGGGGCCGGGGATGTTGGATGCTGGGGGACACAGGGATGGGGATGTTGGATGCTGGGGGACACGGGGACGGGGATGTTGGATGCTGGGGGACATGGGGACGGGGATGTTGGATGCTGGGGGACACGGAGAAGGGGATGTTGGATGCTGGGGGACACGGAGAAGGGGATGTTGGATGCTGGGGGACAAGGGGATGGGGATGTTGGATGCTGGGGGACACAGACATGGGGATGTTGGATGTTGGATGCTGGGGGACACGGGGACGGGGATGTTGGATGCTGGGGGACACGGGGACGGGGATGTTGGATGCTGGAGCCCAGCGCTGCGGGGCCGGGTGCCTCCATCCCCTGTAGCCCTTGGGGCGAGGGTGGGTCCGCAGGGGGAGCAGAGGCGCGTCCGTGCCCCGCGGGGCTGCGGCGGTGCCGTTCGCGGTTCCCTCTGCCCTCGGCTCATCCGCGCCCGCCCGAGCAGCGCCCGGGAGCCAGGCCCGAGCGGAGCGGAGCTACTTCAGCGGCCCCAAGGCTCACAAGCGGAAAGGTAACGGGATGGGGCCGGGGAGGAGGCGGGAGGGGGCCGGGGCCGGCGCTCGGGGCCCCTGCAGCCCGGTCACCCCGGAGCCGGGTCCCGCAGGCGGGCAGAAGGTGTCGTTCGCCGGCGGCATCGAGGAGCGCGGCCAGGACCTGAAGTCGCTGACGGTGTCCGAGATCCCGGAGGATCCCGAAGGACTGGAGGAAGAGGAAGAGGAGGACGGCGGCACCGGGGGTATGTGGGGTGTCAGCCCCTCCTGCCCCTGGTGTCTCCCTCTGGTGCTGGTGGCGCCTGACCCTCTGCCTGTTCATCCCCCCTTCCATCCCTTCATCCATCCATCCATTCATCCATTCGTCCATTCATCTGTCTGTCCCTCCATCCCTCCCTCCATCCATCCCTCCATCACCTAACCTTCAATCCCTCCATCCTTCCATCCATCCATCCACCCATCCATCCATCCATCCATGCATCCATCCATCCCTCCATCATCTATCCTTCAATCCCTCCTTCCCTCCATCCCTCCCTCCATCCATTCATTACCCCTCCATCCATCCCTCCTTCCATCCCTTCATCCATCCATCCATTCATCCATTCGTCCATTCATCTGTCTGTCCCTCCATCCCTCCATCCCTTCATCCATCCATCCCTCCATCATCTAACCCTCAATCCCTCCATCCTTCCATCCATCCTTTCATCCCTCCATCCATCCCTTCATCCATCCATCCATCCATCCATCCATCCATCCATCCATCCATCATCTATCCTTCAATCCCTCCTTCCCTCCCTCCCTCCCTCCCTCCCTCCCTCCCTCCCTCCCTCCCTCCCTCCCTCCCTCCCTCCCTCCATCCCTCCATCCACCCATCCATCCATCCTTCCATCGCTCCCTCCATCCATTATCCCTCCATCCATCCCCAGAGCGGCGACACGTCGGCTTCGCCGAGGTTCCATCTCGCCCCATCGGCACCGAGCGCCATTCGCCCACCTACCCCCTGGGTACCAGTTAACCGGCACCGGGACCCAGCACCCCCCCGGCTGCAGCAGCTTCGCCGGTGCCCCCCCCTTGCCCCATTGCCCCCCATCGCCCCACTGCTGCCCTGCCTGCGCTTCGTGTGCTGCCCCACACATGGCCACGGCCACCACGCTTCGCACTGGGGGGTCCCACGCGAGGGGCAGGGACCCCGCCGGGGGGCTGGTGGGGGGACCCCCCTGCCCCACATCGAGCCGAGCCCCCTGCCCGCAATAAACGGCTGTACAGAGAGGATGGAGCCTGGTCTGGGGGGGGGCTGAGGCCATGGAGGGGGGGTCTGACCCCCGGGGTTTGGGTGGTCTGGGCATCGGTGGGGCGAGAGCAGGGAGCTGTGGGGCAGGGCTGTGGGTCAGATACCGGTGCCCCATGGACACCCTCCCTCTCTCACAGGAATGGTCCCTCCCAGCCCCACTGACACCCCCCCCCCGGGTGGGGAATGGTCCCTCCCAGCCCCACTGATCCCCACCATCTTGTGAGGAATGGTCCCGCTCATCCCATTGACCCCCTCTGGAGAGGAATGGTCCCTCCCAGCCCCACTGATTCCCCCCCCGGAAGGAAATGGTCCCTCCCAGCCCCACTGATCCCCCCCCCCCCGAAAGGGAATGGTCCCTCCCAGACCCACTGCTCCCCCCTTCTGAAAGGGAATGGTCCCTCCCAGCCCCACTGATTCCCCCCCCCCCCGAAAGGGAATGGTCCCTCCCAGACCCACTGATCCCCCCCCCTCTGAAAGGCAATGGTCCCTCCCAGCCCCACTGATCCCCCCCCTCTGAAAGGCAATGGTCCCTCCCAGCCCCACTGATCCCCCCCCGGAAGAGAATGGTCCCTCCCAGCCCCACTGATCCCCCCCCGAAAGGCAATGGTCCCTCCCAGCCCCACTGATCCCCCCCCGGAAGGGAATGGTCCCTCCCAGCCCCATTGCCCCCCCCCGTGTACACAATGGTTTCTCCCTCTGCCGGCCATGGTTTGCGCCGGCGCAGCCTCGCTCTGGCGCTCCCCTCCTGGGGTCAGAGGTGGCAGCGGCGCCGGAAGTTGCGTGTGCCGGGGTCAGCTTCCGGCGGGGCCGGCACCGGGCGGCGGCAGGGAGCGGGAGCGGGGCCTGCACCGGGCATGGGGCCTGCACCGGCGAGTACCGGGGGGCGCCGGCGCCGGGGCCGGGTCTGGGTCTGGGTCTGGGTCTGGGTCTGGGTCTGGGTCTGGGTCTGGGTCTGGGGGCCTTGGAGCCGGCGACGGGCCCCGGAGCGCGGCCGTTCCCGGGGGGTTGCAGCGGCAGCTCCGAGCGGGGACAGCGGTGGATGGGGGGGGGGGGGTCGCGGCCGTGCCGGTGATCTCCGGTGTTGCGTTGTGATGCGGTCACGGTGCTGCTCCGGGTGTGTGCGGAGCGCCCGAGCCTTGGCCCTGTTGACATGGGGCTGGTGGCCACTGACATGGGGCTGGTGGCCATTGACATAGGGTTGGTGGCCATTGACATGGATCAGGTGGCCATTGACATAGGGTTGGTGGCCATTGACATAGGGTTGGTGGCCATTGACATGGATCAGGTGGCCATTGACATAGGGTTGGTGGCCATTGACATGGATCAGGTGGCCATTGACATGGGGTTGGTGGCCATTGACATGGATCAGGTGGCCATTGACATAGGGTTGGTGGCCATTGACACGGGGCTGGTGGCCAATAACACAGGGCTGGTGACCACTGACATGGGGCTGGTGGCCATTAACATAGGGTTGGTGGCCATTGACATGGAGCTGGTGGCCACTGATAGAGGGTTGGTGGCCATTGACATGGATCTGGTGGCCACTGATAGAGAGCTGGTGGCCATTGACACAGGGCTGGTGGCCATTGATAGGGGTCTTGTGGCCACTGCCACAGAACTGGTGGCCACTGACACGGGGCTGGTGGCCATTGACATGAGGCTGGTGGCCATTGACATGGGGCTGGTGGCCACTGACACGGGGCTGGTGACCATTGACATGGGGCTGGTGGGCATTGACATGGGGCTGGTGGGCATTGACATGGGGCTGGTGGGCATTGACATGGGGCTGGTGGCCACTGACATGGATCTGGTGGCCACTGACATGGGGCTGGTGGCCACTGACATGGGGCTGGTGGCCACTGACATGAATCTGGTGGGCATTGACATGGGGCTGGTGGCCACTGACATGGGGCTGGTGGGCATTGATATGGGGCTGGTGGCCACTGACATGGATCTGGTGGGCATTGACATGGGGCTGGTGGCCACTGACATGGATCTGGTGGCCACTGACATGGGGCTGGTGGCCACTGACATGGATCTGGTGGCCACTGACATGGGGCTGGTGGCCACTGACATGGATCTGGTGGCCACTGACATGGGGCTGGTGGCCACTGACATGGGGCTGGTGGCCACTGACATGGGGCTGGTTGCCACTGACATGGGGCTGGTGGCCATTGACACGGGGCTGGTGGCCATTGACACGGGGCTGGTGGCCATTGACATGGGGCTGGTGGCCATTGACACGGGGCTGGTGGCCATTGACATGGGGCTGGTTGCCGTGCAGGTGCACAGCACTAACAAGGGGCGTGGGGGGCTGTTCCGAGGGGCTGCAGCCCTGCTGCCGGCAGCAGGGGCAGCCCCAGGCCCTGGGGCACAGAGGGGCCCCCTTTTCCCTGGGGCTGCGGTGAGCGGTTGCCGGTGGCCCCCTCCAGGGACCGGACTGTGCTGCCCCCGAGGCAATGGCAGTGCCCTTGCTCCTGGCGGTGGTGCCGGGCAGGAGGTGGGATCCCGGCATCTTCGGGTGTGCAGCCCCGGTGCCTTCGTGGCACCACCCTGTGAGGTCCTTGAAGCCCATCCAGCCCCAACCCCTGCCACGGGCAGGGACCCCTTCCATAGAGCAGCTTGCTCCAACCCCTGTGTCCAACCTGGCCTTGAACACTGCCAGGGATGGAGCAGCCACAGCTTCTCTGGGCACCCTGTGCCAGCGCCTCAGCACCCTCACAGGGAAGAGCTTCTGCCTAAGAGCTCATCTCAGTCTCCCCTCGGGCAGGTTAAAGCCGTTCCCCTTGGCCTGTCCCTACATCCCTTGTCCCAAGCCCCTCTCCAGCTTTCCTGCAGCCCCTTTAGGCCCTGGAGCTGCTCTCAGGTCTCCCCTTCAGGAGCTTTTTCTCAAGGAATACCGACCAACCCCTGTGTGGAACGGGGCTGTTGATCCCTTGCTTTGGTCCTGTCTTTGTGCTGACCAGTGCCACGCTCTCTGTGGGTTGGGGCTGTTCTAGAGAGTGAGGTTTCGTGTCCCCTCTTCACCCTTTGTATTTCCAAGGCCTCCCTAAAGCTCAGGCTCTGCGGCCGGGGCCTCTGCAGGGTCTCATCCGTCTCGCTCTGCAGGCGCTGGCAGCCGAGGTGACACGAGCATTAGCTGTTGGAGCTGTCATGTGAGCTCGGAAGACACATTAATAGGAAGTGGGGGCGAGGGAGGAAAGGAGAAGCCGTGTCACAAGATGGAAAAGCTTCTCCCTGGAAGAGGTGGCATTAACATGCAAACGGGTGCTAATGGCAGCCTTGTGATTTGAATGTGAAAGGGTTGGGGATGGGGAAGGGGGGGGTGCCACGGAGGAGGTGCTGGCGCTGGGGCTTTGCAGGGGCTGCTCTGGCCTTTCCCCCGGGGACAGGATGAGCCTCAGCACCAGGGGCTGTGCTGCGGGGACCCTCCTGGGTGCTGCTGCTCGGTGCGGCCTCAGGAGCTCGCTGTCTCTCGCACTGCTTCCCGCTGGGGTTCGCTGCTGATGCTGCCATCACCTCTCCCCTCCTGCTTCGCCCTTGAAGCTTCTCCCTCCTAAAGGACTCTTCTCCCTGCAAGCAGGGGCGCTCACCACCAAAAAGAACCCAAATCTGCCCTGGGAGGCTCGAGAACGCCCGGTTTCCTTCCACCAGCAAAGCCCCTGCTGTGGGTGCTGTGCTCCTGGCAGCCGCGGGTCCCTCGGGCAGCCTCTGGCCCTCGCTCGGGGCTGCTGTTGGCTGTGGGAGCTGCTCCGCGGCCCTCGCAGGCTGCGGAGGATGCGGGATGCATAATACAGCGCCAGGGCGCTCAATAATTTATCTGTCACCCAGAAAAAGGCACATTTCTGCACACTGCCATCCCTGTGCTCCTGCTGCTCTCAGCTTCCTCCTGCCCTGAAGACGCAGCCCCAGTCGAGGGGTTTACATCTGGGCTTCAAAGGTTCCTGCTCTGCCCCATAGGGCGCTGAAGGTGAAGCCCTTGGTGCTGGTTCTTCCCCCAGCAGTGAGTTAGTGCTGGTTAAACCTCCCTGGGGAAAGCTGGGGTTTAATGCTTTGGGCTGGCTGAGCTGGGCTCTGCTGTATCGTGGAATGGCTTGGGATGAAGGGACCTTAAAGCTCATCCAGTCCCAACCCCTGCCACGGGCAGGGACCCCTTCCATAGAGCAGCTTGCTCCAAGCCCCTGTGTCCTTGAACACTGCCAGGGATGGGGCAGCCCCAGCTTCTCTGGGCACCCTGTGCCAGCGCCTCAGCACCCTCCCAGGGAAGAGCTTCTGCCTAAGAGCTCAGCTCGGTCTCCCCTCTGGCAGCTTAAAGCCATTCCCTTGTGCTCCACTGTATCCCTGGCACTGCAGAGCCGGGGAGGGGTGGAGGCAGTGGGACTGGAGGGGCTCACAGGGTGATGTGAAAGCGCTGTGAGGGTTGGGGGGGAGCTGCCTAAGTGCAAAGCGGTGTCGGAGGCGGTGCAGGAGGAGCAGCCCTGCCTGGGCTGATGCATTATTCAGCTCTCACAGATGTCTCCTAACTTTCCCCACTTTGAGCCGGGGCCCCCGGCTCGGAGCAGCGGGCGCTGTGGCTGATGAGAAGTGACAAGGCCTGCAGCTCCTTCCGAAGGGCCTCGGAGAGAGCCTCGCAGGGACCTGACAGGAGCGCAGCTTTGTTCCCTTCCTGCCCCAAACCCGAGCTCTCGCTGGTGCTCAGGTGTCCAAGGCTCCATCAGCTTCACCTCCCCCCCAAGTCTTGGGGTGGGTTTTCCCCCCCCAACCCCCTTAAACGTGGCACGGCTGCAGCCTCCTGGTCGTTCCCAGGGTGATCTGCAGTTGACAAACCCCATTTGGCTCCTGGAGGATGCAGAGCTGCTGTGACAGAAGCCGATGCAAGGGCTTGAGCCAGGAGCGTTGCGCAGAGCTCTCGTGGCTGTGCTTTTGCCATGGGTGACCCCTGGAACAACCTGCTTTGGCTTCCCCCTTTTCCTTGGGT